AAATAGTAATAATAATAATAATAATAAAATAAACATGAAATTCATTTATGTTCATGCCAACCCTCTACACATGGCCACAGCTCTGTTCTTCCTGTGCTGGAGGATGGCGGGTGGGACAGGCGAGCACTCAATGTCGAGCTCCACCCCCAGCTCGCTTTACTTTTTGAGACAGAGACTCCATAAACTTCCCAGGCTGGCCTCGAACTTTCCATCCTCCTCTCTCAGCCTCTCACATAACTGAAACTACAGGTGTCCAGCCCGAAGGTAATTTTATAGGACAGTGTTAGTGTATCCGCATTTTGACTTTGACAAGGTCAGGTGTGGAATTCTCCATTGGAGGGATCGTGTTAAAGCTCAGAAAGTTTAAGAGCTTTTTTTAGATTAAGGATGACCAACCTGTAATAAAAAACTACCGAGTTACATGCTTTTTAAAATTTGACACAGGGTCTCATTACGTAGTGTAGGCTGGCCTTGAACTCAGAGTGATCCTCCTGCCTCAGCCTCCCAAGTGTTGGGATGACAGCTGTGTGACACCACGCCCAGCGTGAATTATGTCTTAAACAGGCAGACTGTATGAAATGGGAATCGTACCTCAAAAAAGCTTTAAAGAATTCTATATAAATATAAACACCAGCTTTTGCCTGGCATGGTGATGCCTCCCTGCAATCCCAGCACTCTGGGAGGCTGAGGCAGAAGGATTTCCCAGCTTGAGCCTATCTCAAAAAGTGTAAAAAAGGCTGAAGATGCAGTGTAGAGACGCTGTGCTTAATCTCCAGTACTCCAAACAAATAAATGCCAACAGCCTCCCCTACCCTTTCTGGGGTTTCCCATGGTCAGAGAGTTTGAACAAAATTGACAAAAGTTACCATCGCCTGGCACCATGACAGCTATTCCTGGACCTCCCACGCCTCTGCCCCTCACAGACCTTCAAGGCTGTGGATTACTGTCCTTGCTGCCACCATCCCACTGAGACTGTCTGGTCCACACAGCCCATCCTCCCTGGGTCCTCGCCCCTTGCAGGGCCTGGCTCTGATTTCCCGCTCTTGATCTCCGGCTGGATACTGGCTCTGCCCTGGTGACTGGCTGTGAATGTCCCTGAAGCCCAGCTGAAATCCCCAAGGCAGGAGACAGTCACTCCTGCCCAACTGTATGCTCCTCAGCTCGCTGGACCTCCCTGCAGCCTCCTCTGCGGACAGGAGGACCCTGCGCCGCCCCCATGCACCATCCCTTCGCTCTCTGCATCCAGGCGTCTTCAAGCAGAGCAGGTTGCTCAGCCCTGTGGGCAGCTCTGGCCGCTGGAATTCTGGCGCTGGGTGTCCGCCCACCCAGACATGGGGTCCTGGACCCTCGGCTCCAGCAGATGCCCTTGCATCTGTCCAGCCTTGTCTCCGTCCAGCCTGAGGCCCGGCATGCCCTGGCCAGCTCAGGCACCACCCACGGCTCCCTGCCCGGCAGGACCTGGCCCCCAGAGAACAAACCACAGAATGCTTTCTTCTTCATTGCTTCCATGCCCCCGGGCCTTTGCACAAGCGGGAGTCTCTACTAGCTGCAGCCTTCTGCCTGCCAGGTAAACCCTTGAACACCTTTGCAGAAAAGGTCCGCAGTGGAATGGACCAGGAAAGCTTTCCCACACCTCTCTCACCCTGCCTGACTCTGTGACACTCAGCAGGGAGTCTGCTGCATGAACACATGATCGACTTCCTGGACTCAGAAGGGGCACACAGGAGAACAACAACCCATTTTCTAGGTTTAGTTTTTAATTAATTCTTTTTCTTTCTGGTGGTACTGGGGATTGAACCCAGGGTCTTCACACTGAGCCACATCCCTAACTCCTTTTTATTTTTTATTTTTGATACAGGGTCTCACTAAGTCACTAAATTGCCCAGGTTTGGTACAAGCTTGTAATCCTCCTGCCTCAGCCTCTCAGAGTCCTGAGGACACCACCATGTAAGGCTCATTTTTCAGTTTTAAAATCTGAGACCCTCAAGGATGGACCTGGTCATTGGCCTGAGGCAGAAACAGCCCTCCTGGGTGCCAGGACACCCTGTTGCTACCCGGCCCCAAGCCTTGTGTCTGCTGGGGGGGTGGTGGGGGGTGTTCTTGTCCCTTTGAGAAGTGATAAAAGTGAGGCCTGAAGGAGGGACGAGGTAAGCCAGGGGAGGGGGGTCCCGACCTCCAGGGACTCAGAGCATAGGAGCCACTGTCCATGTGGCTCAGTAAAGTAACCAGAGCCAGGCAGGGTGGCACATGCTTGTAATACCAGTACTCTGGGAGGCTGAGGCAGGAGGATTGCAAGTTCATCCCCAACCTGGACAATTTAGTGACTTATCAAGATCCTGTCTTAAAATAAACAATAAAAAGGGCTGGGAATGGAGCGCAGCGCAAAGGCCCTGGGTTCTACATCCAGTATTGAAAAAAAGAAACAAAGAATGAACCAGGCTGGAAAGCTACTGTCAGGACGTCCCCTGCCCCAGGGTCCCTCAGCCCACACCTGCTGTGGGCCCAGGAAGGCACCAGACCCACCCTGGCAGTTCAGAGGCAAACCCCACCCATGCCTGAGCAAGTCTCAAGCCTTCGGTCTCCCTCTTTCTCGAAGGATCCAGCGAGTTCACTTGTGATGCCCCCAGAGGCCCCAGGACAGCACACAAATGTGCCTGCCCTTCTCAGGCTGGCTTCCTGTGTCACCCAGCCTTACCTTACCGCATATTCCTCCCTTAAAAACTCAGTCTTTTAAAACTGAATCTCCTGCAGGCGCGGTGGCACACGCCTGGAATCCCAGCACTCGGGAGGCTGAGGCAGGAGAATCGGTGCGAGTTCGAGACCAGCCTGGGCTACAAAGTGAGCTCAAGGCCAGCATGAACTGCATAGTGAGACCCTGTCTCAAAAAGATTAAAATAAATAAATAAATAAAAATGAAACTGAATCTCCTCCCCCTACCTTTTTTTTTTTTTTACAGAGACCAGTAGTACGTTATTACCCACGGTGAGAAAACCAGAGGTTGCTGCCGCAAACATCAGAGCAGAAAGCACGAACAAAACAGCGACACAGGATCCCGCTATCAGATGCAATTATCACTAGATAATGTTGCCTTTTAACCCAGTCAGCCTCTTACTAAAGAGAGAGATTAGCAAGTGTGAAAGGGTGTTAAGGACTCAGCACCCAGTTGGGACTTTGCCTTTGAAAATCTCCAGCCCTGAGCCGTCTGGGTGCTGTGGCCCACGCCTGTCACCTCAACATCCAGTGGGCCGAGGCAGGAGGATCTCCAAGAGTTTGACCCACCCAGAACAAAACAAACAAAAGCCTAACTAGCCTAGGCCTCACCCAGCCCGCCTGTCGGCACGATCTTCCTTTCCTTCCCTAGGGCGGGTGCTTCCAGGCCCACAGGACACCCCAGAGCACAGCACCCCAGCTCCAGGGCCCCGTCCTCTGGAGCATTCGCCTGGCCACTTCATTACTTGCTAGTCTTCATTCAATTCATCTCTTCAACAAAATTTAAATTTCCTTAAATTCTCAAGTGCGTTTCCGAAACTTCCCAGCCATCTCCCACACCGTGGAAACGGGCTGAGGTAAGCGGTGACCCCATCACGTTACTGCCACCCCTGCCTCCCTCTGCGCCTGAAACCCACTCTGCCCAGCCCCATGAGCAAAGGGCAGTGCCACTCGGAATCCCCTGCCACCGTCCCCGGGAATGCAATGCCAGGTTCCACTGCATCCAGAAAACAGTGACCCACAGTGAGGGACCCAGGAGACCACAGCAGACCCATAACCAAGTAGCCAGGGCACTCTCCGAGTGCTGTGTGACCCTGGGAAGCTGCTGTCCCTCTCTGGGCCTTAGGATCCCCATAGGAAAGGAGGGGTGGCAGAAAGGGAACAAAGGAGCCCAAGCAGCAAGTCCCCTTCCTCCACCACTCTGGGTGGGAGTGTTCTTGTCTCCCCCTCCTGGCCGCACCCCCGGAGGCCCTGCTGTCTGGCCCAGAGGTTCCTAGGCTGAGGACAACAGAGCAGATAAACAAGACAGGGACCGAGCCTGTATGTCTGGCCGGCTCCCCTGAGCCCCTGGCTGGGCTCCCGGCGGGTGGGGTGGGGGAGCGGCTGGGCCTTTGTCTGGGTTTTCAAAAGCAGAGGACACCGGGTGTCTCGCCTTCCCTAGCAGGAGGGGTGACAGCTCCCACCCAGCTCAGGGCGTGGCGGGTCACTGTGAATCCCCGGGGAAAGTTGCTGCTTGCAAAACACAGCCAGTGGGGAGGGGAGGGAGGGGAGGGGAGCGGCCGGCGCAGGCTGGGCTGGCTGGACGGACCTCCGTGTCCTGCCGGGCTGGGGTGAGGACAGGGCCCAGGGCGGGCCAGGGTCAGTCCCGCCGCGCTCGGGGTCTTCACATACCCCACGACCTCTAGGACCCACCTGTGGGAGTGAAGGGCCGGGGGCTGGGATGGGGGACACCCTCACGCTGACAGCAGGCGACCCGCGCCTACCCTGAATGACCACGCAGACTCGTGGAGCACCTGCTGTATACCTAAGTCCTCTGCAGCGGAGCCCCTCACGGGCTCCAGCAGACCCAAGGCCAGCCAGGCACCACAGGCAGCGCGGTTATGACCCAGCCCACTCCATCCATCACCCCATTCAGTCCTCATCTTGGGGACCCTTCGGGGAGGGGCTCAGTCCCAAGCTCTGGCTGGGCACCGCCTATGTCGTCCTCGCGCACCCACCAGACACCCGGGAAGCCCCTCTCGCCGGTGGCAACGCGGGGCAGCACTTGGCCGCTGGATCTGGGCTCGGGCAGGGGGCTCGGGACGCCGGGGACCCCGGGGGAGGGCAGGGCAGGGTGCCGGGAGGAGCGCGTGTCCAAGGCGCACGGCGCGGCGCGCCAAGGCTGGGCCGGGGCCCCGGCGAGGCCACCTGGGGAAGGGTCTCCAAGGTCCTGGGGCCGGCACCCCCAGGCAGCGCAGGGAGCGCCCCTGAAGTCCCCTCCCAGCCGGGGTGTGCAAGCGGGGCCTCGGGGCGGGTCCCCCAACCTCCCCCAGCCGGCCGCAGACGTTCCCCGCCGCCTGCGCGATCGCGACGCCCCGCGGGCGTGG